TGAAATATTGGATAACTGGGGACTAACTGCGTGAATTAAGTATTTGTATAACACTGTATACATTAGCCTGATTATAGTACCCAAGGAGACCTTCATTCCTCAGAAAATTACAATATATTGTTTCTAACAAATTCTAAAAATAAAAGAGAAAATTCTGGTTTTGTTAGTAGCAAAATTCTGCATTTTGGGTAAGAACGTGGACAGCCATGTGGTGCATCACAGTTTTAAATATGTGTTAATTACTTGGCATAATATACCTAATGAGAAACCAATTAAACATTGCATATCATCAATTTGGTTTTAATACAGTAGTGAAATACCAACATTCTGGGTTGCAATTAAAATGTTTTATGAATTAAACTTATTTTGCCAACCTGTGCACTCCTTGGACAAGATGAAGGTCTGTCAGATATAAGCTGATCTCCAGGAGCAAAGATTGAGTTGCATTAGACTCTGAGTCTCCAAATTTGACTACCTGCCATCAAAATTGTTAGCCCTATTTACTCAGTGTTCTTGCTAGTACAGGAAGACAGTGAAAGGAGGTGAGACATACATCTTATGCAGGAAGAGAATAAAGTGTAACAGAGAAGGGAAAGAAGCACTACGTATTAGTTTGGTACTACCTTTAAATAATTCTAAAGGTTTTGATGTCAAGGCACTATGTTTTGCCCAGAAGTGCTAGCAAGCACATTATTACTATCAGCTATATCTGACACTAGCTAAATCTTACTTAGCTTGTGTCATAGAATTAATTGTACAGTAGAATCATAGAATGATCTAGCTTGGAAAAGACCTTCAAGATCATCAAGTCCAACCATCAACCTGACCTACCAAGTCCCATCACTAAACCATGTCCCTTACTGCCACCTCCACGTCTTAAATTCTTGATTTATTTCTTCAAGATTGACATAGGACACATCTGCATAGAAATGCCAAGTTACAGCTGTGAGTGCTAAGAGGGGTCACAAAACCATTGAGGATGTTATTTGAATCCTGAGACCTGCAGTGATGTGAATGCTGATCTTTTCTCCTCCCTAACACCTCCCAAAATGCGTAAGACAAGAAGGCTAGAAGAGTTCCAGCCTTACCTTTACTATCCTTCTTCCACCTTCTTCCACATCCAAATAATTTTCCCACTACGAAGGAAGGCCTCAAAAAGAGCAGGTTGAGTGCCATATTGGTGCATGGTGTCAAAGAGAATTTGGGGAACACAGAGGGATGGTATTACACTTTTCTGCCATAACAATGCACGCATGACAATATAAATCATTAGAATATAAATATAATTCAAAGCTTAATTTGCAAATCTAATAAAAAACTGTAAGGGTGTAGTGTTCTTGTTTTAATGTAAATATGAAGTTGTTGTTCTAAAATAACGTTAATTCCATTAAATTATACAATTGTTGTTTCTAACTGGAAACAAGTACCTATTTAGCTGGGATGGAAGTGTGTCCATCATTTATTGATTTGTAAATATGTTAAGATTTATGAATAATTTTATAGATTTTTCTCTTTCTCCAGATACTGGGTCATGAGAATGTCATTAAGCATATGTTCAGTCATTTTAACTACATTGATTCTTAATGTTTGGATTGCTAATTCATTACTCTGCACTGGATTTTGCTCGCAGTCACTGAGGTATGCCTGTGTTGAGGAGTATACATTATAAATGTAAAATACTGTAGATTTTACGTGCTCACATTGTTACCTTGTAACATCAGTGAATGCTGCAAGCAAATTAAAACTAAATTTTATGCAAAGACTTCTTTATAATCAAAAAAAAAAAAAAAAAAAAAAAGGTTAGGTACAGTTGTATGGATTTTGCCATTCCTTTACCTCAGATGGAAGCTTGAAACTGCTTCAGTCTCTGGGCAATTTAAAGTAATATTTTGTCAAAATATCTATAACTGGTCAGATAGATTAGACTTCATAGGGGTCTTTTACAGAAGAGCTGGATCAGCACATCTTGGTATTTTGGCACTGCCACTCCACCTCATAGAATGACACTTTCCTTAACTTTTAGGATTTTTCTTATATCTGATGATAGATACTTTACTAGGTGACAAAAGAGTGTCAGGGTGCTGTGGGTAGAATGAGGACAGTAGGTATGGACCTGACTTCTTTACAGGTCCTCGGAGTGAACATAAAAGGACCAGAAGTTTCAGGCTATGTGTACGTGAAATGTCTAGAATGGAATAGTATAGTGGTGATCATCTCATGTAGTAGTACATTAAACGTTTTGGGCAAGGGTGCTTGGCAGTAATACTGTAGCACTATGAATGTGCTGGATATAGAATGAGCTATCTTGAACCCACTCTGATGTGTCTGTAATAGACCTAAGTAGCTGTCATTGGGAAATGAAAAATGGTTCATAAAGAATCTAGCAGATATTTTTCTTTGTTTTCACTTGTATGCATACTTCAGAGGGAGAATCTTCTAATGGAAGAACTTGTTCTGTGAACACTGGAGTGCATGATGCTGGGTTCCTAAGTTTGTCTCCAAACTTTCCCTCCTTCCTCAACCCCAACAGCAATTACTTACAGCTGTAGTTACTGCCTTATACTCTTCTGTGGTACCTTGACTTTTTCAGGCCTCCATATTCCTGGATGGATAAAAAAGTATACTTCATGACCGCTTTCAAGCTACTACTGAGTTAATTCATTGAAAAGAATATGTATGCTTTTTGATTGACCAGCTAATTAATGAGAACTCCAACTGTTGCTCATTCTGCAGCATTTTACTAATCTGCATACAAATTTGATCTTTTTTCTACTCTGATTTTCTTGGGTTTAAAGTTTCTGATGCAACTATACTTCTATTAGACATGGCTGGAATTAGATGATCTATTAACAAGTTTTTAGGAGGGAAGATAGGCAGCATCCCTGCATGATCTTTGTTTCTTAGGAAATCCAAGTTCAATTTGAAAAAAGGATATTTATTCTAGAATAATTGTTCCCCAAACAAACCAGGGACAATGCAGTAAGCCTTGTTTAAGAAATGTATCTATCTACATAACACTAAGTCTGATTCCTAGATACATTTGGGAACTACCTAATAATTGGAAAAGTGTATTTCCAGATCCAATATGTCTTAATCCTTTCAGTCACTTTTTTAAAGAGCTTTTATAGAATGTTGTTTCCTGAAGTCTGACTATCCATCTAGAATTTGGTTTTCTCTTTTACCTTTCGTCTGCCCATATTTTTCCTCACAGTGACAGGAATAGTGCCATCCTTACCTGTCAATCAAAAACAATATAGTGACACAACTTCATTTGTCCTGTCCATCCATTCCTGTTTTTTGTTTGTTTGTTTGTTTGTTTGTTTCCTTTAACACCTGCAAAGATTCAGTACTAATCACATTTTATTTCTCTTCAGTAGTATCACTTGCATTCCTTGAATCCATCCTCTGGCTCCCAATTTCATACCAATTCAAATTCAGATTGCTTTTCTGTATTTTTAAGGTCCACCAAAGTTGTGATACTCCCTGCCTCTGGCTTTTCCCTCTCTTTTTCCTCCTCCACAGTTTTCTCTCTGTTACTGAAACACTATTTGCTGTCTGTCCATCTCTATGACAACTTTCTTCGTTCTGTTTGTGTAGCAGATGTTACACTTCAAACTTTCTATTTCCTGTATCTGCTTTCCAGACACACTTCTACCATGATATCTGTAAGAAATTCAAAGTTAAGAGAGCCTAGAGTCAATGGGCAGCACAGTATTATTATTTAGAAGGAAATAAAGGAAATAATTTACACATACAAGCACAAATACACATATGCATACTCCTGCATATATTTATTAGAGAGCACTGTTTAGGTCAAGAAGAGTCTACCGGCTGCAACAAAAATCTAATAAGTTATTAAATTGGTGTACTTGTAATAATGTTCTATCGTCTGCTTGCCAGGCAATCTTCATTTTCTAACTCAAATTTAAGCTCATCTCTATTCACCATGTTTTAGCAGTATTCTCTCCATCCATATATTTAATCATAGCTGCACACAAGGAATAAGAGAAAAAAAAAAAAAATCTCTGTGTTCTGTGTAATTTTTCATTTTGCTAGGCCTGTATGCTATTCTTTCAGCAGAGTCCAGACAGGAATGACAAGAGGATCTGTGCTTTCCTCAGGTCCTTAGAGCACAATCATTCCACAGTTTCTCTGTGCTGCTGAAAAAAAGTGGTATTTTTTCCTATCCCAGCTGGTTTGCTTGTGGTATGTATGCCTGAACATACCACAAAAAATATAATAAGTTCCTTTTATTTGCTTTTTGGATTTATGACTGTCAGATGTGATTGTTCTTACATTTTGGCTTTGTGAGTGTAGGAGTCCTCAGCGTTGGCCTAATCTTTTTCTCAGTAAGGATAGTGGGAGTTTTGTTTACCACTACCTTCAGGAAGAGCAGTGATGGCTAATACTGAATCATTTTACTAATCCAGGCTTTGAAAATTGGAATGCTTAGGAATTTCTTTTAAGTCACTTTTGAGAACAATTTATCATCCTAGGAATGGTTAACACAAAATGCAAATGCCAATTCACAGAATCACAGAATTGTCTAGGTTGGAAGAGACCTCAAGATCATTGAGTCCAATCTCTGACCTAACACTAACAAGTCCTCCACTAAACCGTATCACTAAGTTCAACATCTAAACGTCTTTTAAAGACCTCCAGGGATGGTGACTCCACCACTTCCCTGGGCAGCACATTCCAATGCCTCACAACCCTTTCAGTAAAGAAGTTATTCCTCATATCCAAGCTAAACCTCAACAGAGATCACTGAATTTACTATTTATCTTTTAGGAAAAAAAAAAAAAATCAGTAAAGTTAAAAATATCTATTTCAAAGTTAAAAAAAAAAATGCTTTGACTTTCTTTTAATGAAACTCAATCACTGTTTTTTAGTTTGTCTTCTTGTTTGTTTTTGTTTTGTGATAGAGGGGGTGTTTTGACTCAGTTGCAGTTTTTTTTTTTTTTTTCTTAATTTTTCTTGTTCTCGCAATTTCAGTCATATATAAATAATTTTCAAATGCATACCTGTATATGCAGACATATGGTCTTTGAGCTCATTACAGAACATTTCTCCCAGATGCTCTTCAGTTTAAGTGTTCATGGCTTTGAGGTAGGGGTTGTTGTTCGTTGTTTTTTGTTTTGTTAGCTTGTTTGTTCGTTTTCCAGGATCTAGTTCAACACCGTTATGGAGTTCATTGGGATTAAACACAGCAGGATTATGGGGTTCACCAAGATAAAAGGATGCCTTCAGTCTGTCAGCAAAAATAATTGTAGTGTTTAAACTAGTTTATAATTCAAAATAACAACCAAGGATGTTCTGGGGAAAAAAAATAATAATTTTAAAAAATTGTAAAATTTAATTCTTTGTATTGTTCAAGGGACTGAAGAATTCAGATTTCCCATTTTTTGTTTTACATCTGGAAAGGTAATGTACAGCTTCTACTGGCATAGAAGTATGTGCCTAATTCTTTGTTTTGAAAACATACCCCTAAAAACCATGTATAAGAACTGTGTGATGGTACAGGGGAATGAAAACACTCCGTTTTAAAAGTCTAATTCCCCACTTTCTTTTTAGCCTAGTCAGTATTTCATTCACACACACTTTTAATATTCTTGTTTCCTAAATCATATATTAATGTTTTTGGTCTCTATAGCTGAAAGGCATAATTCCAGTAATGAGGGGAAATAAGCAGAATGCTTGATGAAGTAGCTAAGCTACCAAACAACAAACAGAATGTTTCATCAACTATGTTTTAACAACTGGTATATAAAGCTGCCACGGTTTGTCATTTCCTCGCCAAGAAATGCATCGCTTTTTATTACAATGTGGTATGTATCAAAAGGGTCAAATAAAGCAAAATATTGTGAAAGCATAATATACAGCAGCAATAGAAAGTGAGCTAAGAGGATGTCATAGAAAAAAAATATATGTTTTTATAATTATATCATACAGTAATTCTGTATTTTTGTTTGTTTTTCCTACTTCTGTGAGAACTCTGGCACATCTACTAAATCACATAGAAAGACCCAGAATCAGCAGTTACCCTCAAGTAAGTGATACAATCTCATAGCTAAATTAGTTATTTTCTTCCTTACCTGCCCTGTATATCATACTAAAAATAAAGTTTGAAGTCTGAAGCTTCTAGGAAAGGACCAGAGCTTTGAGTATCTATTTTTGATCTGTTTCTTTCTTCTGGAAGACTTATAAGCAGTTTGATCAAGAGGAAGAGGAGAAATCAGAAATGGTAGAGTTAACTTCTAAATTACTGACAGCTGAGTTCCCAAGGCTGTGTGTTTTGTTCATTATTTGTAGGTTATCTTTTCTAGCTGTAGAAATATATTTGTATAATAATTAAAATAATTACTTTTTAATGCATTCCTTCAGTTATGTTTAGCAATATTCTATGAAAATTACCGAATATTTTTAAAACCTGAAAAAGTGGAAATAAAATGGTGTTAGGAAGGAGGATTTTTTTGAGCTGTTAAATTGAAGAGTACCATAAGTGCCTCTATTAAAAGATATATTTTGCATTTTTCTTACAACTTAAAGCATTACAATCCCCTTTATAAGTGATGCTACCGCTTACATGTAGCCTACATCTGCAGAGGCATTAACAAATAAGGAAGCATCTGCATTAGAGTTTTGGCTCACAGCATAGAGTGGTGACAGAGTGGATCACCTGAGTATTCTTATTCTTTGTGCATTTGTTTGACTTGCATAGATTTGGTATTCATTAGAGAAGTCTACTTTGGAAGAAACAAAGTTAGGAGCTGTGCTCCGGGTGAGCACCAGGTGCTCCAGCCCCTGGTAGAGATTCTGAACCAGTGGCTGGTTCTTCAGGCATCTTGGAACCTGAAGTATGGTGGAGTATTTACTCCAGGAAACCAGACTAACTGTTTTTCATCTACAGGTTACTCTGGAAGAACTTCCTAGGCTCAAACAAAACCCCAAATTACGTACGGACCAGGGGAAGGACACTCAGTTTTGTTGGCTTCATCCTGTGACTCCCTGCCTTTTAGGTAAAACAATGTTAATCTGTTCAAAGTTAAAGTAGTGATATAATGTAAGGTGCACTAAAGCCAGCTCTGAAGAGACTGGAGGGTAGACAAAAATGTCTACAATTTTTTTTAAGTCCACTATTAGCACTTGGGGAGCTTTGTACAGAGGAGGAGGGGGGAGATACTTGGAATATGTCCTGATTCTGTTAATTGCTTGCTCATTACTCCATGAGCAAGCTTACACATTATTTCCTGGTTTCACAGCTGGAAATCTGTCTGATGCTATCAGCTCTTTTGAAGTGATTGGGCAATACCTGCATGATTAGAAAGAAAAAAAATCTACAGAAAGAGGTTATTATTAAATGTGTAAACTTAACATGAAATATTCCAGCCTTTTCTCATGTATTTAGTCAAATATACTGGTACTATATCTAGTTCTGTCATTTTTATTAATATATTTTATATAAGAAGGAAGAAATTTGTGGAGACTACATGCACAGCATTGCATTCAGTGTGGCAGCAGTGGATTGTCTCAGTGTTACACAAAGAACATAGGAAAAAACAAATCAGGTCAGACCATTTCTGACAGCCTTATGTCTGACAAAGGCCAGCAGTGGATGTCCAGAACATGGCAAAAATGTAATGACATTTCCTGGACTACTATTTCAACATCACATAGCCTTTTTTCAGGTGTTTTTCTAGACAGGAATAATGCTTCACATTTTATAACCTTCAAAGGACAAAGAATTTTCCTTAAAATGGATACCAGTTGTAATGTACTCTTGCTCTTTATGGGGACTGAGCAAGGTCATTATCTACTCTCCATGTTAGACTCTTGATTGTATGCATTTATGCCATGTGCTCTTCTCCCTGTCACCTCTTTTCCAAGTTGAAGGGTCCTAGTCTGCTTAGTCACTTCTTGTACAATATTGCCTTGATAATCTTTGTTATTCTTCTCTAAAATGTTACACTTTTCACTGTACTCTTTTTGACATGGGAAGATTGGAACAAGTAGCATTTAAAAAGAAGGTACAGCATAGTTTTCCACATAATCATAATGATAATTTCAGTTTTATTTTGTATTTCTTCATTATTCCTAAATGTGTATTTGTTTTGACTTCTGTCAGTTGTTAAATTGATCTTCCTGGTCCAAACCCTCTCAGTGCACATGTTGAGTTACAATTGTTTATTCTACACATGGTCTGCTTTACATTTTTCTATGATGAAATTCGTGTTCATCACTGACTCTTCTGACATTGTTCTGTTCTTTGAAATCAGCCCTCCTCTTTGCTACTGTGAATAAGTTAGTATCATCAACACACTGAAGCACTTATTTGTTCATCCACTTCTCCACATCACTTATGAATAAGCTGAGATATCACCACAGTTGCTTTTGATTCTCCATTTAAAATCTCTGACTGTGAAAACTGGCCACTCATGCGTGTTTTCCAACCATGTAAGGACCTTCCCATGCCTATGTTAGTTAAAAGCATTTGCTCTGTGATTTTAAGAGACACATTTTGATGTTCTGAGTGGATGATATCCAAATCTGCTCCATCTCCATACTTTTCATTCATTCAGAATAACCCTTGGAAGTTTAGATTTCTACTTACAAGAGACATATTTAACCTTCCCAATGTATTTTATTCAGCTGTTCACTAGTTTGGTTACTTTTTACAAACAGTTTAGCTGTTCCATACTTGCTTTCCCTCTGAATGCTAATGATTGTCTAGAAAACTCTTATTTTATCAATTTAAACTATAACATCTTGGTACCAGTATTTAAACTTGAAAACGATCAGTGATAATTTTACACGTAAACTTTTTTAATTTATTTATTTATTTTCACGGTAAGTGCTTAAATGGATCTCCATGATAAATACATAAATAAAGTAAAAATCTCCTTGGCCTTACCTACTCTGCATACTCCTCCTATACTCAGAGTTCTAGTTTTTCTATGGTCTTTTTGAATGGCTCCTTTCTTTTGATGGTTTTGAAAATTTGAAAATGTTTGAGTATTTATCATCTGGTTTTAGGTCTTCAGAAAGTTGTTCTGCAAGCTCATATTTGGCCTGTCTTTTACATATAACCTGATAAAGGTTTTATGTAAACCTTCTTATAAGTCTTCTATTTTCCTCATTTGCAGAAATCTTCACTATTTAAAGGCTAACTTTCAATTTTAATAACTTCTCCTAACTTGATATTTATCCAGCTTTTTCTCAAGTTTAAAAAACAACAACAAAAACAACAAACTAGAAGGGGTATGCATATAACCTGGACCTCTAATACTCTAATACTAATTTAAATAGCTTTGAGCCTACTGCAAGAATTTATTCTTTTGACTTTCACAATTCATTTTTCAAGATCTTCCTCTTCTTTTGTAATTCTCCTTTTCATATTTTGTACTACTAAGCAATAGTAGAATTTATGAATCTGTTTTTTCCTGTATGGGTGTACAGCCTCAGCACCTTTTGACTGCTTTATTTACTTTTATGAAGGACAGCTCTTCAGATATAATCTTTGAGCCACACCTTACTAACAGTCTGGACCTAGTTAGTTTACTCCTTCATTACCTAACTAAGATCTTAATAAAGCAATCATTTAGCTTGTTCAATAGTTTGATTTTAGTCTCATGTCTAATACAATATTTGCCAAATCCACTTGGTTTTCCGTATCTATTGCAGTTATCACTTGCAGCCTCTCTGAGCTGACATGTTAAAAATTTAATATTCATGTTCACCATGATCTCTGCACAGCAGTGGTATACTTTAGATTTGGTGTTGTTTTCTAGGAACCTTAGCCAACATCAAAGGAAAAGATTTGCTTGTCTTCTAGAATATTCAGCATTCTGGGAGTTTACAGACCCTTTTTGAATTTGTTTGACGTAGTCATGTGGTGGTTGTCTACAGTTTACTGTCTAAAAGATAAGTTTTGAAGGCATGTTGATGACTGGGCTTAATAGTTTTTTTGGTGTGAGGTTTTTTTGGTGTGTGTTTTTTTTTTTTCTTTTTTTTTTTTTTTAATTTGAAAAGACTTATTGCATAGAAATAACTTTATTTGAAAATAAAAGAAGCTATCTCTGCAAATGCTATGCGTTGGATGTGTGAATCTAGTTTTCATGTTCAGACTTGGTTTTTGATGAGTTTCTAAATTAAACTTCACAATGATTCCGTTTTAAATGATTCTTTAATCAAGGTTGTTATCTTGGCAACAAATTGGCTTTAAAACAGAATCCTCCAAATATCACTTTTTATAGAAAAGGGATTGGTCTAAGCACTCATTTGAGGTTGACACACTGGTTTGCTCATCTTTCTGCACACATTTATCTCTTAAATTATATTGCATTAGGCTAGAAAAAAGTTCTTCATAAGAAGCAAGTTACATAGTGATATAGTTACTTTTAAACTGGTTGTTATTTTTGTTTGTTGTTGTATTTTATAAATATCACTTTTTCCTCTCGACCATGCTATTTCTCAAACATTATCTAGATAATCTGCAGGCATGACAAGCTCTGTAGGTATGGAGGATATTGATTAGAGGTATACAGTGTAGTACATTGAACTTAGCCTCTTTGAATGAGACTTCTGTAAAAGTCTTGTTTATACTGCTAACTGGCTAATAGCATCCAGTATTATCCTCTCAAACACTGCTTGTAGGTCATTGGCACACAACACCCTTTATAGCTTTTTAAAAGGCAGAAAACTGAATAAGATTTTACTGGAAATATGGTACAATATCTTCAGTTTCTACACGGCATTTGTTTCATTTTTAGTTCAGCTGTCCCTGCTGGCTAAAGCTCAGTTCTTCGGGTGGGACTGAGATAATTATCTTCTATGCCAAAGACAAGACAGTTCATTCAAAATGATGCCTGGAGCTGCAATCAGCATTTGTAGGAAAACAGCAAACTAGGCTTTTTAACATGACACTAATCTTTCCCTAAACAATTACAGAGAGCTGACCTTCAACTTTTCCTTTTAACAATTTTAGTTTGTAAGGAGGTTTACAGTACATGGCTGGGTTTTCTAAAATAAGATTTGAATGTCCCTCTCTCCTTAAAAAATGAATGTGTTATAGAAAGAGAAAATGCTGCAGAATGGCTGATTCAGCATGATTTGCAGAAAGTAATAAATGCCTTATTTTGGAACACAAATAAGCATTGTTAAAAGCAATTCTAATTAACCTGCTGCTTGTGAAAGAAACTAAAATGATAGTTTTGAAAACTGAGGTCCTTTGTTCATCTGCAAGAAAGATACAATGAAGAGATCTGTAATGCAAAACTTTGCTTCATCATACCAGTACTGTCCAAGTCCATTTTGTGAACGGGCAGTAAACAAGGTGTAAATAATAAGTTTTTATTAGCGTGACTTAGTAAGAAACTATCCAGAATTCAAATTTTCAAATGCTTATTCCCTTTTCATTTGTGGGTCAAGGTCTAGAAATATTTCACTTCTGGTCATTAGTGTGTTAAACTTATGGAAAGAAGGATTTACAGATTCCAAACCCAGGATTGTTACAGGGACACCTTATCCTAAGCCCAGTCTAGTGTATTGCCTTGCTGTGGCAATGTAGCTTTGTCATTACTCCTTCAGTGACATCAGTACTTAGTAATTTACAATGGAAAACTTGTCAGGTCACTGCTCTTGTCGGGTCAATGCTGACATTTCAACATGGGGTGACACTGGGGCAATAGGTGTTCTGTGAGCCTTGGACTGAAAACTCTTATAGTGGTTTCTCTGGAAATACCTTCTATATTGAGTATTTTGGGGTATATACTTTCTCACCTCCCATTAGCACCCTCTAAGCTGTTGAAGGGCAAGCAGCAGACATCTTCATCAGCAACAAGTCTCTTTCAGCCTTCCAAAAAATGACCTGTCCCCTGCCTACAAGACAGAAATAACTAGTTCAGGATGGAATCTGGTCATAAGTATGTGTATATGGGGCAAGTATGAGTGAAGAGAAATAGTCAAATGTGGGCAGATAGCTTTAAGTAGAGGGATGAGGTTTTATTGACTAATCATTTGG